CATCTTACCCTTTCTCCCCTCCCCTGCACCTTTCGTCATGAACACTCGGTAGCATCCCCATTCTTTCTTGATCATCATTCGGAGATCTGCCTCCTTTCGTTTCCCCCGATTGGAAGTAGCACGACTGTTGGTTGATATGTTTCAATCAGGTATCCTAGGATGTGTTTCAGCACAAATTGACTGCATCCATTGACATTGTGAGAAATGATGTTGCCAGGGGCGTTGTCCTTCCTGTGCGTTTCCACCCATGCTGATTGCACTGACCTGTCGGTGGTAGTCGTGGATGGTTTGCTGCCTGCTGGCAGGATTTGCTCCTCCGCCCCCGTTGCCCATTGAAGGTGAGACGAGTTCCCATCTTGCATCTTTGTTGGGCCTGGTAGCTCCTCCTCTCCCCTTGTCTCCTTGTCGTTCTTCGAGATTGGCGCTGTGTGCATTGCTTGTGGCGGAGGAGGTGGCTGGAGTGGAGAGACGGGGCATGAAGCAGGAGGTGGGGGAGGGGAGGACGTCAGGATGTCTACCTGTGCTGACCTGTCTTGTAGTTGCAGGACCGTCGCGGCTATGAGCTTCGTTGATCCTTGTCCTCCTTGCTCCTGCTCGTCTTCCAATCTCTCCTGTAGCCGTGCATCTTCAGATGCCTGGGTCGCCTGTAGATCGCCTGCGCGTTCTTGGCCGTCTTCTCGCCTTTCCATCCGGTTAGGTATACGTTCCATGGTGAGCTCTGCAGCTTGCCATTCCTTGTAACCTGTATCTTGCGCGTGCTGTGGAGCTCTGCAGATGCGTTGTATTGTTTCTCGCGTGTGCACATGTTCCATACCCCCCCCCCAGAGCCCATCCAGCAGCAGATGTCTTGTTCGCATGAGCCATTGCTGATGGGGGGGGACGCCTTGTTGCCTCCCTGTGTTGAAGATATCTTGTTGTTGTGTTTTCCTTCGTGTCTTTGCGATCAGCAGCAGATGCAGCAAAACGAAAATTCCACAATTGTAGCCGTCTGTTTGTTGCAGCCCAGTTGACACACATGCCCTCCATGCCGTGTCGTCACAGTGTTCTTGTTGATCGCTAATTGCCTCGGTGATAATCGTCGCCATGAGTGATGCTAGGTCCATTCGCTGTGCGCCCCCCAATTGAAACTGTGCCTCCCTTTGGCTTCTGACTGTCCCCAGGTCTCTCTCAAGGGCCGTGCTAAGCGAGTCGACGATGTGTATTCTTTTTGTGTTAACATCTGCCACGATTAGAATCCAATGATTGCCGTTCTCTACGCAAGGGAATAAGAATGGTTGAGCTGCCCCGGCTAGCAGTCGTTTTGCTCTCCGTGCCCTTCCCTCCTGATCTCTCAAACCCGCTACTATTCTCGGGAGAACAATGGTCCCTCTCTGCAGCCCAAATTGGTTTCTAGTTTGCTCGCTGGCATACCTCGTGCCTTGGGGCCATGCTATTTGAAATCTGTCTTCCGCTGGTTCTAAATTGCGGTTTACCTCAACGATTAATGCCTCCATAACGTCCTCAGAGAGAAATCCATCTTCTCCTGAGTTGAGCAGCGCCGCTGCTCCGTACTCTCTATTGTTTTCCCGTAGACTCCAGGGGATCTCCCCTATCAAGTCGAATGTTTGTATTTTTCTGTTTTTTGGATTTTTTTTGTCATTCTTTTTCTCACCTTCTTGTCTCGTTCTGCTTGATTCCACCACGCCCTGGTGCCCACTGTCCCACCTGCCCTCTCCTCCTCCTCCTGCTTCCATTAGGCGTCAAGCGGCGCGGTTGGGGAGGAGTCAAGCGACATCTCTTCCACTTCTACCGCTCTGCTCCCTGCTTCGGGTGCATCTTCCACTCGCGCGTCTTCCATCTGTATCTCACTGCTCAAAACAAGTTTCAATTCGTTTCTGTCTCCCAGCATTCCTACGAGGGAGAGCGCCGTTTCCTCCAGGAATTTATTCAAAGCAATGAAGAGAAGGTCAGTTTTCAAGGGCTTCTCCTCATTTGGTGCGAAAGCGCTGCTCTTGCGTTTCGCTACCTTCCACGTATGCTTGCCTGCAATCACCCTGACTCGTTCACGCAGTCGCTTGCTCACGGCATTCTCTGCCGCGTTGGCCCCCTTATCAGCCCACTCTTGTAGCGTGGGGAAGGATGCATTTCCTGGGCTCTCCGGAGCCATCTCTTGCACCGCGTCATCAAGATGGAGTTGAAGCTGTCCTTGCTGTTGCAGCTCGCTCCTAGTTACGTCAGCAATAGTTTCCTTAAGTTCTTCGACGACCACGTCCGTTCCCGCATCTGGGAGGTTTATTTCATTGATAATGGAACTGAGCTCGATCTCTTTCCACACAGTTCCTTCTGCTCTGGTCCCCGTCGTTTGTGACCTGGCCTCAGGGTTAGACTGATCGCGAGTTGCCTGAGGCGACACTTGGAGGTTCAGACTGCTCGCTGTCGTTTGGATTTCAACTGTGCCTTGTCAGCAGAGGAGCTGTGTGGGGAATTCAGCCATCATCTTTCTTGCACTACTTTCACTGCGTAGCCGGAGAATGATACCAGACCCATCCCAGATCCCTGTTTCTGGATCGCATTGGAGGTGGATCCGTTGGAGGTCTCTTTCCACCTGTGGATCAAAGCAAGCGACAGCTCTCCGAATGTTTCGGATGACTTTTGCTCTGCCCGTTTCGTCACTTGCACAGATTTTTTCGATCTCATTTCGGGAGAACTTCCCTGACGGCACAGGAGAGGAGATTTGTACCGAGTACAGCATCTCTGCTCCCGTTGCCATTGCCGTGCCCTCTTGCCGCACCGCATTCTTCATATTCTTGTGCAGCGCCGTTGCTTCCATCTGCACTGAGAACCATTTCAGTATTTTGTCATTCTCTGAGACCAGTCCCAAAGTGACTCCTGCACGATCCTTTCCATGTCGATCGAATGCTTGAAGAACGATGTCCGCTGCTTCAAGGCTCGAGCACGTTGCGATCCAGTCGACCTCTCTGTTCTGGTTGACTGTTTCTATTCCTACCGCAGCGAACACCTTCTTTGGCGGTAGGTTCCTCTTGGGGGGGAGGTTCACTGTCATTCCCGCATTTGGGATCAGATCAATGATCGCTAATCCCTGCTTCAGGCATAGCTGCCTGTAGATCTCACATATGTCACCTGTGCTCGAATCGTTGAGCATCAGGAGTTGGGCCACCTCAGCTAGGATTCCAACTCTGCCCATGTTCTCCTTCTTTGGCCGCATCTTGAACGAGATCGGTGGGTTGGCTGCTGGGTTCACTGCTAGGATCCTCCTGCCTGCCACCTTGAAGGTACCTTCTCCTTTCCAGAGTTTCTCAGCCGCCTCATTGCGGACAAAGGTGATCACTGCTGGGATCTCCGCTGCCTGCACAAGGTCAGGCTTCAAGGGAGCCTTGAAGATCAGGCTCCTGCTGTCTTGCGTCTGATCGACGATCAAGCCTTGCTCTTCAAGCTTGAGGCATAAGTTTTCCACCTGTCTGGAAAAGTATGCAGGGATCCCAAGTACCTTCATGGTAATCGTCTGCATCTGCCTTTGTCTGTCAGCTTGGACCTCTGACAGGTACCACTGCTTGACATCGTCACCCCACTGCCTGAGCCCTTTCGGATTCTCCAGTGACGAGGGTTCAGCGAAGCTGCATGTCTGACTGATGGCTTCGGCTAAGGCTTCCAAGGAAATTTCTTTTGCTTTCAGAGCTTTGCTCGTCCTGCTTTTGGGGTTCTGCCTTGCGAATTCATCCAGTCTCCGCATCAGTTCGGCTGATGACGGCATCGTTGCAGCTTCCGTCTGCCTCTTGAGGTAGCTGGAGGTACGGTACTGCACGATCTCGTCAGGATTCACAATAGATATTGGCCACATGTTTCGAAGCATTCTCGATGGTTTCCCGAGCTTCCTGCGTTCCTGGCGACTCTTGCTCTACCACGCAGGGACCCCGCTGATCTGCATGCCTCAGATAAAGGGATCCTGCCTCAGATAAAGGGATCCTGCCTCAGATAAAGGGATCCTCTCAGATAAAGGGATCCTCCTAAACCCTAAACCCTTCAAGCTCTCCCCACCTCCGCGCTTCCGCCGTCGGACTTTTCTGATTCAGACAATTGATCCTTGTCGCCGATCCTCATGTGACAGCGAAGGACAAGATGGAACTATGTTGTCAAGCGCAGATGGGAGCGATGTTGTATCCGTGAGGATCCGGACGTCTCGGATACTCGTACGGGTACTTAGTATCCGCCCTGACATCTAAATACGGCCTCCCTTTGACGCGCATGCGCTACCGTGCGCAGTGCGTGTGTGCAGTTTACCTTAAGTAAACGTAGTCTACCTTTGTTCTCTTGGTCCTTCTTGTCCACCTTCAGCGAGCAGGCCAGCACATGCATCTCTGCGAATTTACTCAGTGCTATGAACAGGAAGCTAAGAGATCGACGCTCTATGTCGTCGCTCTCCGCCTCCTGCTCAAGCTCAGCAGCTGCCGTTGCCCGTGGCGAGAACGCGCTGCCCCTCCTTGCCTTCTTGCTCTCTCCTTGCACGCGAGTCCAGCGCTTGCTCTGCAGCCACTTCCCCAGCTTCTCCTTGAGAACGTTGCGCCCAACTCCCTGCTCCTCTGGCATCTTCGCCCACTCTCCCAGCGACATGAACTCCAGGCTCCCCGGAGAGTAGAACGTGTCGTGGAGGTTGCCAACGGCCTTGTCCAGGACCAGCTTGATCGGCTCGCTCGTCCCTGCCTCGTTCAAAGAAGCTGCATCTTCGATGACTGCTGACAGCTCGCTGACGAGCTGCATGTCCTCTTGGCTTGACGGAGATGCTGCCTCCATTGTGATCCTCTCCAGGTCTGTAAACTCCAGCCACTCTCCCTCGCTCTCCTCCTGTCGCTGCGCTGCGTCGCTGGTGCCCCGCTGACCAGCCGCCTCAGAGTCAGGCTCCTTGTCGAAGCCGACTGCTTCGAGCTTGGTTGCTGCGCCTTCGAGATAGAAGGGCAGCTCCTTCATCATGCGTCGAGCATCCTCCGTGGAGCCGAGGAGGATGCATAGCTTGGACCCGTTCCAGGACTTGGTGTTCAAATCCTCCTCCATGTCGATGCCTTCAACGTTGATCTCGAGCCTGTTAGCGATCTCCAACAAGACTCTCTTGACTCTTGCGATGGACGTGTTGCCGCCGTTGCACAGCCCCTCCATCTCCTTCCTCGTGAAGCGACCAGATGCCGCCGTCGACTTGATGATGATCTTGATCTCCTTGCCGTCCTTGCCGCCTGCCTTCTTCTGCATCCTTGATGCCTTCTTCAACTTATTTCTGGACACAAAGCGATCAGCTGTCAACTCGACTGCGAGCGCCTCTCTGATCTTCGGGTCCTCGCTGAACAGAGTCAGGTGTACTCCCTCCATCGCTTCGCTCTCTCGGAAAGCTCGAAATGCTGTATCATTCGCCTCTGGGCAGCTCGAGGAGACGATCCACTCCACCTCCCTCTGTCTCCAGATGACGTTGGCCCCTACAGCGATGAAGCCTTTCTGACCTAAGCCTTTGTGGACTTGCTGTCCTGGCGCCCCAGCGACCAGCATGCCTGCCAGCGGCTGGAGTTGGACCGCTGCAAGGGACTGGCGCAGCAGCTGATAGCGATAGACGGCAGCTATCTCAGCCGTTGTCATGCCGCCCAAGGTTAGCAGGTGAGTCAGCTCTGCCAAGCTGCCCCCTTTGCCCCAGGGTCCTCTCTTGGCTCGAATCTTGAAAGATCGATCGTGCACGATGCTCACATGTACAGCTGTGAACTTGCGACCATCGATCGCGAAGTCCTCTCTTCCCTGCCAGAGCTTCTCCGCTTGTGCATTGCGGAGGAAGGAAACAGTCACCGGGATCTCCTCAGCACTCGCTATCTCGGGTCTATACGGGGCCTTCCACATGATTGCTTTACTCTCTTGCACTGAGTCTACGATCAGTCCGATCTCTTCAAATTTCTTCTTCAGCTTTTCTTCATGGTTGACATACACCGAGGAGATGCCCAGGAGAGTCATGGAGATGAAGGAAGTCACCTCGTTGCCTGCTGAGGCGGTGTATGTCTCGACCTTCTCCTTCTTGGCTTCTTCAATCTGCTGCATAAACCACTCTCTGGATGCGTCACTCCATCCAGTCATCGCTTCTTGCAGAAACTCACGTCGTGCCTGCTGACATGTCGAGCGGATGGCTTCTGCGATAGCGTCGGGGGTGCATCCCTCCACAGCCTTGCAAGCCTGGGCTGTCCTGCTGTTCGGATAACGCTTCGCGAAGCTCTTCACCCTCTCGACGAGATCAGCTTCGAGGACAGAGGCATCCACAAGTCCGCTCTGCGTGTATTGGCATGATCTCCGATACAGCAGGTTGCGAACATTTTCATCATACTGAAGAACCATACTTAGAAAGCTATTTGAAGTATACAAACCTCTTGCTTGCAGCTTCCTTGGCGCCCTGGCGGCTTCCCCTACACCTGACGAGGAGCCATGCTGCCGAAAATAACGGCGCCTGCCGAAAATAACGGCGCCTGCCGAAAATAACGGCGCCTGCCCCTAAACCCTAAACCCTAAACCCTAAACCCTAAACCCTAACCCTAAACCCTAAACCCTAAACCCTAAACCCTAACCCTAACCCTATATTATATATATTGAGTTTATTAGACTCTTAGTCAAGAGTTTCATAGC